GTTTTAGTGACTCGATTGTCTTAATCTCGACGAGCCGAGCTCTGGGATGGTGATTTACTAACGCAAATGTTTTAATGTTGACGCGTCGCTTTACTGACGCAAATGTAATAATGTCGAAGCTGCGCGCAATGGGGCGGCGTTTACCTGACGTGAATGTATTAACGTCGACGCGTTCTGGGGCGGCGTTAAGAATGATCTTATGCTCAAGGCCGTTGGAGTAGGATGATGCTACAGCACAGCAACGGGTCCACAAGCGTATTCCGTTACCTCAATTGTAATATATTACCGCCGGAAGGAAGGTACCAGTGCTATTACACGATTTACCTGTAAATCCCTTATCGTCCGATTTTTTTCAGATATGGTTCGTAAACATTACGCCCGCCTTTGAGAAATGTGAATCTCTTCTTGCTTTTTTTGTTTGTTGTTTAACGCCGCACTCAGCAATATTCCAGCTGTATCGCGGCGGTCTGTAAATAATCGAGTCTGACCAGACAATCCAGTGATTGATATCATGAGCATCGATCTACGTAATTTGGATATGATGACAATAATAATAACTGTCATGCATCAACCAAGTCAGCCAGCCTGACCGTTAGTCGCCTCAGCATGGCTTGCTGAAGACACATCCTAACCCGGAATCCCTCTTCTTGCGGTTAATATGAATTGAACAGCCATTCGATATCGAGCAACACTTATATACTTTGTATGATTGCCAACAGATTGTGTATTGTGATAGTCTTGTGACCCAGTGAAGCCAGTACATTTAGTTCAAATATGGATTCATGTCAATGCTGGCCGAGATAACCTGTGAGATTGAGGTGACATCTCATAGAATGTTCTCTAATTCGTTGGCGTGCGTGAGTATGGTTTTACGCCGCTTTTAGCAATATTCCAGCAATATCACGGCGGGGAACACCAGAAATGGGCTTCACACATTGTACCCATGTCGGGAATCGAACCCGGGTCTTCGGCGTGACGAGCGAACGCTTTAACCACTAGGCTACCCGACCGCCCCTAATTCGTTTGGGTATGATGTTACACAAGTGCAGACAGCCCAACCAGCGCTTGTAATGAGTGAGTGAGTGAGTGAGTATGGTTTTACGCCGCTTTTAGCTATATTCCAGCAATATCACGGCGGGGGACACCAGAAACCGGCTTCACACATTGTACCCATGTCGGGAATCGAACCCGGGTCTTCGGCGTGACGAGCGAACGCTTTAACCACTAGGCTACCCGACCGCCCCGCTTGTAATGAGAGCTGACTAAATGATTCCGTGGTCAGGCTCTGTGACTTGGCTGATTGCGCGTCACCTAGACCCGATTGCTTAGACAGCAAAACTTCTTTCGTTTCTCACCACCGATTGGCCCTTAAAATCAGACCGACAAAGAATTTAAAACAATAAATTATTTCATGCTATATTCGGTTCCGGTTTGTCAATATTAGAGTTGTGTTCAATTCCACTGATAAGTGAATGAGAAACACAAATGATTTGTCAATTCCTTGAAAGTGTGTTTTATCTGTTGGTCTAATGTGGAATGTGTCGCTCGTTCCCTCACTCACTCTGACGTCATCCATATTATTCTTACAAGTGATCCCAATCGTCTTAGATTCATAGCTAGTCGCATGACCACACATTATATCAACACATGAACAGTGTAAGAACCTGTCAATTTTCAGACTAATAGTTTCATGTTTGTCCCTGAGCTTGAAATATACCTGACCGCCTCCGTGGTCTAGTGGTAGGGCGTCCGCCCGGAGAGTGGAAGGTGCGGGGTTCGATCCCCGGCCGCGTCATACCAAAAGACGTTAAAAGATGGTACTTGTTGTTACCCTGTCTGGCGCTCGGCATTAAGGGGCTAAAACAAAGACTGGTCGGCTCGGAGTCAGTATACTGTGTCTGAGTGGGATATCCATGTTAAACTGCGGAATGGTATCTCAGTGAGCTAGCACTATAAATCGGCATCAGTCCGGACTAGTACAAGCAGCCACACAAACACACACATGTACATGCACGTCACTGTATAAGTGCAATAATCTTGGACGCGACGTTAAACCCCATTTCACCTCACCTGAAATATACCTAATGATACGAATGATGGAGAGAAGGATGAAAGAAGCGACAGTAAAATATCCATTGAAATCGTGTTACTGTCAGTGTTGCATCAAATGTCCAGAATCTGCAAAAACCCGATGATCGTGAGGGACCAATCATTTGATATTCGGGGCGGGGGAGCTGGAGTTTTGTCTGGAGATAAGAAATTATTTCAGTTAGTTACAGCTGAAAAAACATGTGTGCGTTTTTTTTGTAAACATGATGAGTCTCAATGTTATTTTAAACGAAACACCTTGCAACAATGTACTTTTCTTTCAATAGTCTTAATCCTAATTATTTTTTTCACCAATTTTCTGGGACATTTTTTTCGATAAAATCCCAGATTAAACTGCAATAACTCACCTACTCACATAGTTAATCTGCTTTCTGGTGCTCATTGCGAGGGATCCACTGTAAATGTTCTCAGCTCCCCTTCAAACAGATGAAACTGTATTTTATTTTCGTTATTTGTGACACGAATTATGATGTTATTAACTTTACCAGATTATACAGCTATTAACTCGCATATCCTATTTACTTAGTTTACACTTTTATTATTCCACTGCGAATATTTAACAACATGTGCATATTATTGGAGTGTTGTCAACTGAAATAAGATACTCATGTCATTTTTTTTACTATTTATGTATTCTAATCATTGTCGATTGTAATTTAATTGTTTAACAATGAACGTTACTGTGTTACATTGTTTCTTTTGAGATTCGGTAGACGCTCGTTGCATTGTTTGGACAGTGATCAGTTTTCAGAGGGTTACTATATTTTTAGATGCTGGTGTGGTGTGTAAACTTCCGGTCCGATATACCGCGGACGATGATAGTATGTTATAGAAACATGGAGAATGTTATATGTTGTGAGGGCACAATATGGAACTTTCCAGTACATGCTTAGAGCGTGTCTGCGTGTCTCTCATGCATGTTCATCACATCAGAACCAGCTTTCATGTGAGGATCGCTCATCATCCCTGATTCCCTGCCTAGCCCATCTCAGAAGCTTGACCACTGTCGCCGCTGAGTGAATATATATAATTATCACTTTTGCTAATCACCACTGTGTGGTTTGTATTTGAGACTGACCACAGCCATCATTGTATTATTATACTGTCATTGAAACACGATGCTTTCGTCAATTTCGCTGTCTCTTTCCGTCTGTGGTGTGTACTGTGCCGTATCTCTTACGGTGGCCAATTCTTGAGGATACATACGTGACGACCCTTCCACCAGTAGTACCTTACCTAAAAGCTCTGCGAATATCAATTAAAATGCGATCGTTTATAGACTGAAATTTGTGTGTTGGTAGAAAGATGTAGGTATATATTCATTTACCTACGTTTTGATACTTGCCCGTGATTGTTTTTTTCTTGATGTCTAGTAGGATTTAAGTGACACAAATATATATCTGGGGCTCCACATTTGGTGTTGTAGATCACTGTTTTAAATGGAATTTTCGTGTGCGATATTCAAGTCTTTTATGCTATCAAATCGAACAGTCGTCTAACCAACAATGTTGCCCATTTTACCATTGTCACCTAATGCAAAGCCTCATGCAGCGATATAGGAATCGGTTATGCACAGTGAGAGATCGCATGCAGTTCAGAGTATGCGAATCGTTTCGATTGAGAGCTATTGACGATTGAATAAACTATCGTATTACTATTTATTGAATTTTGGAAGTACAGTAGTAATTTTTATTCAAGCAATGTGACATTTTCAATTTTTGTAGGAGCAAATGAGAGCGTTAATGCAGATGAAAGTGTCAAAGTTGGATTTTATATCGCGCTGAATGAATGTTGATTCCCTATCTGTGGCAACTATGCGAGAATATCGCTTCCTAAGTCAATCCCTGAAAATTCATCAACGCGACTGAACACGATCTTCATACGATTGAACACGACTTCATACGACCTTCATACGACTGAACACGACTTTTCAGCTCGGCTTAAATCGTGTTATAAATTTTTGCATTGCAACACGATTTAAGCCGAGCTGCGACGTCCATACTACCGCGCGCGACCGACCACGACTAAACACGAACGAGCACGAATGAGTGCGCGACCTTCATACGTTCTAACACGATTTAAGGAAAAACGTTAAATCGTGTTCATTCGTGTTCAGATTTGTGAATGTGAGATAGGGGCTTTAGGAAAGGGTTTTGTCGCTTTTATTTGACTCTCCTACCGCATTGAGCTGACAAGTAATTTAGCGGTTATGTTGTGCTAATCACTCAGCAGCCAACTCTGTGTGTGTGTGTGTGTGTGTGTGTGTGTGTGTGTGTGTGTGTGTGTGTGTGTGTGTGGTTGCTTGTAATAGTCTATTTTATGTTTTACACAGATTACATTGTACATTGTATCCGACCTGACCAGCCCTTGTTTAACCCCTTTATATCGAGCGCCATACAAGGTAACTACAGGTACCATTTTCAAACGTCTTTTGGTAAGGCGTGGCCGGCCGTCCGCTCTCCGGGCACAAGATCTACTAGACCAGGTGGCGGTCTGCTAACATATAACCTACTACCTGTTACCGTTATAGTGAGAAGAATTATAATGGTACTTACAATACTTCAACATATATTTCAAGTGCATTAATATTAATATGGTTTTAAACAAATTGTAACAATTACAATGAAAATAAATCCTCAGATAGGATTACATTTGAATGGATATTCATCTCTGCCATCATACACAATGTACCTGTAATGAATTACTTGATATTGAATACATTATTCATAAAACTGCTTCCAACCTTTTAAGACGAGAGGTGTCATGTGTGTGTAAATGGCACCAGCTGCTGAATTTGATCACGTGACAATAACGGTATATCCAAACCAGACGAAATATGTTTGTTTCAGTGTGTGACGAACAGTTTGAAAGAAGATCAGTTTAAAACAGCAATGGCGGCAGACAATGGTGCTCATTTGCCGTATGGAGAGACTGGCACTGGCAACTATGGTGCCAATGTCGTTTCGATCTATGACAAATATCACATTTTGTTGCGATCTGAATTCTTCCTTGATGTGGCTAAGACAGTTCCATTTCCGGATAGAAACTCGGTGTACAACATCGGCGACTACGGAACTGCTGATGGTGCAGCTGCCATGACACTCCTGAAGAAACTGATAGAGTGCCTGAAGGAGCACCACGGACCTCATGTGCAGTTCCAGGTCATCTATGAAGACAAAGTGGACAATGACTTCAACTCTCTGTTCAAACGCCTCGGTGGTTTAATCCCTGATCCACAGTCGTACCTCCAGGACCTTGAGAACGTCTATGCTCTGGCTTCTGGAACTAATTTCTATAAGCAGTGTGTTCCAGCCGATTCAATGCACATAATACTCTGCATTGCTGGTGTTCATTGGCTTTCTGGAAAGCCTCCTATGAACAAAGATTTCATCTACTCTTTCCCAGGGACAGAAGCTGTTGTCAGGCAAAGGTTGGAGAAACAGGCGTCAGAAGACTGGGAGAGGTTTCTGATCTTCAGGAGTCGCGAGCTGAAGAAAGGGGGATTGATGATTGTAGCTGCACCTAGCGATAACGCAAATAGACCAGGAGGGGTGCGAATATGTTCCGAAACGCTTTTACAAACCTTGAACTCCACATGGAAGGAGTTTCGTGACAAAGGTAGGATATCAAAAACAGAATTCATCAACACGAATCTAGCATGCTTTCAGAAAAGCCTGGATATGTTGAAATCACCTTTTGAAGATCCGAATTCAAAAGTAGTTATGTCCGGATTGCGTCTACTATCAGCTGAGGTGGTCACTATTCCTTGTGGAGCCTGTGATGACTGGTTATGGCAGAAGGAGAACAAGGGTGTGGATGACAGGGCTGGATATGCCAGACGGTACGTGGCAGCTAATCGATGTTGGAGCAACAGTGCCTTCCTCACAGGCCTTTCAGAGTCAAGGAGCAAGGTGGAAAAGGAAGAAATAGTGAACGAGCTGTATGATCAGGTAGAGGAGGGCATTTGAAACATGAATCCTGAAACAGTAAAGAACGACAAGCAATTTGCCTACCTATACATTATCAAGAAATAATCAGGCTGTTCACGGATACTGACATGCTGAAGATCAGTTCTCCTGTACAGCATCTATATAGAAATGATTCACAAGGAGGCATATAGAGGCAATGCATTCTTTGGCGATAACAGTTTGGAAATATATACTGAACCAAATTAAAAACTTCACAATCCTAAAACTTTAACATTCTGACCACTTATCATTGTGGGCCCTTATTGTGTATTTTAACAGTAATGGCCACGTATTGTCTTCAGATAACACCCGTTTTTGTGCAGGTGAATCGATCAAAATCATGTGCATAGCACTATAGTGGCAAAAGTGGTTTTCACGTGCAACTGGTCACGTGGCCATAATACCGCACGTGTTTTCAGACATACTTGTTAGCAGTCATTAACAAAAAAAGAAAAACACAAGAAAACAAAAGTCTTTACGGCCATTTGTTATGCCACGCCTTTCACGTGAATGTGCCATCGGCATGTTGCAGACGGGAATGCCCGTAGCTGAAGTCGCAAGGACGAAGGGTTGTAGTCGACGGACTGTTTATGATTTACAGACGCGTCTACAGTAAACGGGTACCACCGCTGATCGCCCTCGGCCAGGTCGACCACGTGTGACGTTACATGCAGAGGATCGTCAGATTGTCTTACGTCACCTCCGAAACCGATTTTTGACGGCTACATCAACCAGAAATGAACTGTTTAGGGGTAGACAGAGTGCGCAAACTGTTCGAAACCGTCTGAGAACTGCTCACCTTCAAGCACGACGGCCATACTGCGGGTCGATTCTGACTCATTTACACAGACGTCAACGTCAATTGTGGGCACAGCAACACTTACGACGGACTCAGAGGAATTGGAATCAAGTCGTCTTCAGTGATGAATCCCGATTTAATCTTCGATTTGCTGATGGTAGGGCGAGGTTGTGGAGGCGCCGCCATGAACGTTACGCCCAGTGTTGTGTACAGGAAGTTGACAGATTTCGAGGCGGAAGTGTCATGGTGTCGGGTGCTTTCTGTGGCAATGCACGTTCCAGGCGTCTTGTCATCCGTGGCAACCTCAACGCTGCTGCTTACCGCGACCAGGTACTAGCACCAGAACTTCTGCCTTTTATGGCAGCACATGGACCCGGTTTGATCTTCCAACACGACAATGCCAGACCCCACACAGCAATGGACTGGCCGTCAAGGTCTCCCGACCTCAACCCCATCGAACACGTCTGGGATGCTCTTGGCAGAAGTCTGCGCACTCTCCAGAACCAACCACAGAATTTGCAAGATCTTGGCACCATTTTGCAGCAACAATGGCGTCTTCCCAATCATGTGTTCACAAGCATCACAAGGTCCATGCGGAAGCGTTGTGTGGCAGTTGTCAACGCACATGGTGGCCATACACGCTACTGAACTTGTGTGCCATCAGATTCTCATGCTTGGGACTTATGATTTAAACTGTTGATGTTATTACCAAATACCGTAGGTGCTTGGAACTAATTATGGTTACCACCGTTAATTAAAATCCTTCTTTGGACATTAATGATTAACAATTACCTTATCTGATACATTTGTCCGTTGTATATCATATATGGGATTACTTTTAAAAATGTGAAGTTTTTAATTTGACTCAGTATATTATGCAAATGGTTATTTATTTGGTTATGGAATGGCGATCTATCACTACCAATTACGCAAGTGATGAAAATGAATTCTGTAAAATTACTGAGATGAACGAAATTGATTTATTAAGCGATGGTGACTTTCATGCCTTGTTTTCGGAAATGACAGGAATTAAGCACCAAGACAATTGCGAATGAAAACAATGTTGTAGACTACGTGGATGTATATAACACTAATAAAACATATTTTTTAGAAATGCTGTTCATGTAAAAATACAAACAAATGAAATATTCTGATGAGGATTACTGGGGTAGCGTTTCTGCGAATTGTAAATTTAAAAAAAGGAAGAATAATAATTGTATAAGTGTTTTGCGATCTAACCTGATTTTTTAAGGAAACGAAGATAAGGACAAACATTTGACATGTTTGCATGATCACGTTCATTACTATATATGATTTCATACTTTGAAGTTTACACTGTTTCTTTCATGCTTATTGGCTGGATGGGTAGTCACGTGATCTGATATTTGGAGTTCACACACCTGTCGGAACTACTTTCCCGGGTTTTCCCGTATTCTCGATCGGTGTTTACGATCAACTCGTTTTTCTATTTTATTTTTAATCCCTGCATTTATCAGCAATATAATTTAGTATTTTTGCCTGGTCTTGTAACATTTCATCTGATTTATAAATAAATGCTTTGGTTCTGGTAATTGATGTCGTCTTGTTGCTACATGAAACAAAATGGATTGTCCTTACGGTAATTTTGGATGTGGAATGGTTATCTATCAATACTAATAACGCCAGTGATTCTGTAACAAATCTGTAAAATTACTGAGGTGAACGAAATTGATTTATTGAGCGATATTGACTTTCATGCCTTGTTTTCGGAAATGACAGGAATTTAGCACAAGACATTTGCGAATGAAAACAATGTTGTAGACTAGACGATCTACCCTGCTCAGATGTGGCCGCCGGAAAAAAAAGGCCAAGATTTTGAGAACCAAGACACAGCAAATACAAATTAAAAAACATTAAATTAATAAACTCTGAAAATGTTCAATGATAAGATAAATTTTATCTAGCTTTTAAAAAAAATAAGAAAAAAAGGGTGAGGAAAGAAACTTAATTTTAAAAAACAACAAAAACCCGGCTACCTGTTTTACCGATTGGTCACAGGGGTCGAGGAAATACCCGTAGACGGAATCTACTATTCCGGTTTCTGAGTTGGCCGACCTTCTCCGTGCATTCTAGGCCGAGAAGCGGCGGCACATGAGGAAGGACGGGGCACAGAAAAGAAGCTGGCATCAGGTCATACAGTAGGTCTATCTCAGGTGACAAGACACTAGCACCAGCCAAGTAAAGTATTACAGCACACACGACAAATCACAAAACACATAAGTTTCAGGGTTGTTCCTGTGTTGTTCAGGGTATTTTCCATAACTTTTCCATAAACTTCATTTTCAACAGCAGTAAGTATACATTTCATCATCATGATCCCGTTCGACTCGAAATGCACCTCTTTACAAACTTATGAGACATCATATATAAATTCACACTTCGCATCGGTGCATCGAGTCATGTCTGTTACCTATTTTTAAGATTTGATTAATCCCAAATAGCGTTTGTCAATGTGTTCAAAGAATAAAATTATGTTCATGTTGACATATTTTCAGGTTATATGGTACATATTCATAGAACTATTTTTCGTTGCGTAACTGAGTATGAGTTGGGAAACGTATGTGACCGAGAGCCGGCAAATACCGACAAAATAACATTGTTGCATTGTTCTTCCGCGAAACCAGAGAGCTTCAAATTTATGCAAACATTGTTACGATATTATTCAGCGAGATCAATAAACTACAAAGTATAAAATCATAAGAATTGAACGTCAGTTTGGATAGGTTCATTGAAGTGTGAACGATTTAAAAGCGCTGGTTAAACTTTCGTGTGAACCTCCTCACAGAAATACACACCCACACTATCGAAGTATCGACTCGATCCGTGTCTTGGCTGACAGTGACAGTCTACACCAATCTATTACTTTAACTTAGTGTCCAATTAACACAACTTTAATCACCTTTCCATGATCGACCAGTTGATCAATGATGACTAAAACATGTAACCGCCACAGGTCCATTAACAACTTCGAATTCTCAACCGACACGTTCATCGTACTTGTACTTTTAAGGATAAGAATTTATGGATGAACAACTGCTTTATTTGCAATTAAGAGCGACGTTTCGGTGTAGGTTCTAACACCGTTATCAAGCAAGTGACTGTCACTTGCTTGATAACGGTGTTAGAACCTACATCGAAACATCACTTGCTTGATAACGGTGTTAGAACCTACACCGAAACGTCGCTCTTAATTGTAATAAAGAAGTTGTTCATCCATAAATTCTTATCCTTACTTAGTACTCCAACTTCTAAGTGCCTATCAAAGAAGTCTTGTACTGGATGTAAATGTATTACGACACGCTGTCATAATGACTGACTTACTGAGGTAGTTCTTATCAGACATTTCTCATCTTAGGAGGATATTATTTGAATACATTTGATGTAAAGAAACTACAAAAGTTGCTCCTGCAGAGCATATTGAGCATACATACGTTCATGTCACCTCTCGTTTTGAGGAACTATTTTTTCCGCGATACAGCTGGTTGTTGTATGACTGTCAGTGTAAACATGTACAGTAAGTCACATGTACTAAATATTGCGTATAGATGTAGATCCTTTGAGGTACAAAATAGTGATACAAAAAATTATAAGAATTGACTTTCACATAGTGTGTGTTCACTGGAGTATGAACCTTCATAGAGTGAGGGCCAAACATTGTATGAACGTCGTTGCAAGCTCCGACGTTAATACAGTTTGGCCCTCACTCTATGAAGGTTCATACTCCAATGAACTCACACAAAGTGAAAGTCATTTCTTAATACTATTACTACTAAGGAGTGAAAATAGGCAAATGTAAAAAGTGTGTTTGTTGTTTAACGCCGCACTCAGCAATATTCCAGCTATATGTCGGCGGTCTGTAAATAATCGAATCTGGACCAGACAATCCACTGATTGACAGCATGAGCCTTCATCTACGCAATTGGGATACGATGACATGCATCAACCAACTTGAAGTCAGCGAGCCTCACCACCCGATCCCGACAGTTGCCTCTTTGGACAAGCATGGGTTGCTGACGACCTATTCTAACCCTAGATCTTCACAGGTACGATTATAGGTATGAGTAATGCAGAGATGCCCCTAAGGCTGATTGCACACCGGATTAAATGTGCCCCCCGCCATCAGTAGATTGCTGCAGGAACCGATGGCGATAACGTCCAGAAT